ATTTTTCAGATCCAATATTTATTTCAGAAAAAAAAAAAAAGGACGGGGCACTGGGAAAAAAAAAAGCGTTTCTTCTGGACAGCAAAAAGAAAAAGGAATCATACAAACGATTTTGTCCAAGCCTCAAGATGCCCAACGCGGGGCGATCACGACCCTCAATTCCCTACTACACTCTACAAGCAGCAAATGTGTCGTCTGGTGAAGGACGCTTGCTGGATGCTCGTTTGGGGCTCCGATCTATACATGTCCCCAAGTCAATTGTCCTCCGAACCCACAATGAGAAAATGTAGCCCAGCTTCAGCAATACTGCCGTGTCCCCCTCGCCGACCGCAAAGAGGAAGTTGTGCGTCCGTACCTGTAGTCTAGTCGTTGTGTTTGACAGTGGTACGGCAAGACGTTGGTTGGTTAGTTTTTTCTCATCACAACCTTCATATGATGAAAATCCGGGATAGATGAGCAATGTCGTAGGCGTCAGCGGAATCTACCCTACCTGTGTGTTAACGATTTGCTGAGCACCATGTACAGTGCTTATCTCCCAGTGTGGGTAGTACAACTATGCTTGCCCCCCACCCCGTCGACCTGGCTCTCGATTCGCATGCCTGTTAAACGGCTTTCTTGCTGTCTCTCTATTTTGTTATTTTGAGACAGGCGGCTACCAGTGCGAGCGTGCGGTGCATCCTCTTCCTGTTCGAGGGTGCCGCAGTAGACACCAAGACGAAGTACGCCTTCGCGGCGCTGGGGGCCTTCTGCATGGGCTTCGCCAATGAAATGATCCGGTGAGCGCCGCCTCCACCACCGCTAGGCGTAGGCTCGAACAAGTAGCTACTTAACGTTGCTGGCTTGTTTGAGTCATCCCCTTGCAAGAGCGGGGCTTTTCACGTCCCAAGAGGCATCGTTACTATGTCTTCAGCTGCCAAAGACGGGCGGATGGAACTCAGCAGCACCGCTACCACCAGGCGTATGCACAAGCCAGAACAACTTACCTCCCTATGCATATGATGCCGGGTTGGTGAGAGAGCGCGAGAGCGGGGGTTTTCCATGGTGCAAGAGTTTCGCGCCGCTGTTGCCCTTAGCTGCCAAAAAGACGGGCGGATGGAACTCGGCAGCACCACCAGGCGTAGGCTCGGACCGGACAACACTTCCCTATTTTGCCGGGTTGCTTGAGACATGTCCTGGTAGGAGCAGGTCTTCATGTCAGGAGAGGTTCTGCATGGTATGACGTTTTTGCGTCATCGTCCTTCCGTGCCAGAATCACGGGCGGATGGGACTCAGCAGCCACACCACGAGGCGCAGGCTCAGAAAAGAAACACTCTCTTACGTTGCTGGGTTGTTTTGAGACATGCCCTTGTAAGGGCGGGGCTTTCCGTGTCGCAGGAGTGTTGCGTCGTTGTTGCCCTCATGTCTGCTCAGCTGCCAAGAACCGGGTGGGCAGCAACACTACCACAAGGTGTACGCTGGGCCAACTAGCTACTTACGTTGCCGGGTTGTTTGAGGTATCTCCTTGTGACAGCGGGGCTCGTCATGGTCGGAGATTCTTGCGTCGTTGATGCCGCTTAGCTGCCCAATACACGGGTGGATGGTTCAGTACTCTGAAAAGCTTGGGCATTGCCGACTCGACTCCCACCAACGCCGCCTGCATCTGCCTCTGCGCCTAGCCTAGGCTAGCGCACCTTCTCGCAATGCAGAGGGGGTCGCTGTTTAGTGCCGGTACCTGCCCAGAAGATTCGCGGTCACTACACCGGACCGGCACTGTTCAAAGTTCTGACCATGACATGGAAATTTAGTGTGTGCCCGCCGAAAACACAGGCACCGGCACTGCTGTTCTACCGGCACGAAAGAGGGACCCCCTCTATAGTTTCATTGACTAGGTTTAACCCGGGGCCGATGTTGATGACATGAAACTTCTTGATGAACGTGTTTCTGGTGGGAAGAGAATAACGCTCACAGATCGCCAAACAAGTTTTCAAGTTTTTCGTTTGCCCGCGCTCCTTCCAGCACACAAACCCGTCTTCTTCTGTCAACCTGGCCCCCTTTTTTTCTTTCCCCTTGATGATGTCATGACTGGAATCGAAAACCACAGGTACGGACGCGACAGGATGGCGAGGACCTCGGGGGTATGCGTGGGATCGGATATGAAGGCGACTTTTGCTTTCGCCGTGCAGATGTTCCTGGCGTACATGCTCATGGTATGTGTGGGACACAAGCAGCCTTTGTATGTGCGTGCGCGCGAGTGAGTTTCGCGTTGGCGGCAGAGGAGAAGATTTTCTTGTACATTTTTTTTTTTTCTCCCATCATTGGACTCTGTCGTCTGCCCCTCTGACCCCTATCCTCCACTTCTACCAGCTAGACGACCCAACCAGGGTCACACAGGAGGGGGGGGTTGGACCCCCTCCTGCGGTTCCTGCCTGAGATATTTTTATCGCGAGAAGGGTTCGGCAATCCCTTCCCTCGCGACTTATGAAGTCGATCAAGTTTACTAACAACGGTCTTTGCAGCGCGTCGCTTCCAACGGAGACAATGTGCGTGCGGGGAGCCGATTTATATGAACGGGGAAAGAACGCAAAAAACACACGTCGGGCATTCGGGTTAATTCTCGGACATTTTGCTACTCTAGGGGTGTCTAGTGGTGGGATTGTTGCTCACACATAAAGCCCCCTCGTTGCCCCCCCCCCCCTCTTTTCGCGTGTGCGTTGCCCCTGATGGCAAATTCGTGGTGATACCCCATGGATATGTGATCATGATCCTAACCATCTCGCTCCCCTCCTCTTCCACGTGTGCGTTGCCCCTTCTCAATCGTCATAATCACAGCTGCTGGTGATGCCCTACAAGCACGTCATCCTTATCTTGATCATCTCGTGCCCCCCCCCCCGTCGCCGTCCCCCCGTCGCGTGTGCGTTGCCCCTGATCGTCACAGCTGCTGGTGATGCTCTACGAGTACGTGATCCTCATCATGATCATCTCGGGCCTCGCCGCGGGGCACTTGGTGACCCTCCGACTGTCCGCCGGCAGGCGCCGAGCAGCGCTCAAGGACGGCGCCACGGAAGCCTCTGGAGTCGCGGGCAATTCCGGCACGCCTTGCTGCAACTCAGCAACGCAGGCGTAATACACTGCTCTCATTCGTCCCCGTCACTTAATTCCATTGGATTTCTGCTTTTGTCCCTGCGGATGATCTATTTTTCCGATTTCGGAAGGTCCGAGAGTTTCCTGTCGGCTTCTCCCGAGAGCGACCAATATCGGTTACAACACGTCATGAGGGTTTGGCGCTGGAGCAATCCGATTTGTACAAAACGTGTGGCGTGTGTTCTACCGCAATAGCTTGTCTGGAGACAAGCGGAAGCATTGTTCTCGTCGAAATCGGGATTTGAGGGGTCCACCAGACCCTGTCGCAATGCATCGTCCGGCAGTAGTGTCTAGTGGGGGGGGGGG